GCTTAATGGTATATGTCAAAGGTCAATTAAGTGCATTCAAGATTGCACGATACGTTTTATGTGGCCAAATATGGCATCTCAATTGTTGAATAAGTGAAGATGTTCCACATTATTGATGTTTGTAATACGTATAGTAAATACATTTGATTTTACATCTGTGTTAATTTATTCCAGAGCACCTCTACCACAAGTAATTCTTTGAGATACCAACGATTGGCTAATAATAATTATAAAATAATAATGTTTTTCATTATTAAACTACATATCTGTGGATTACCTCCAGAGAACCAATTTTCAATGAAGTGTGATGATTATGCGCATTGTGCAAATTTGGCAATTAGTTTGCTCAAATTTCGATCCAAAAATAATGCACTGTTTCCAGGAATTATATACCAAGTCTTATTGAGAAAAATAATCATAATGCAAATTAATCAATTATTATGAATAGATTTCAACCCCAAACTATAATTAGATATGTTTATTGTTTTAGAGCACATATTTACCCAGTTTCATTGTAATGTGATGATTAATTGTTCGAAAAATTACAAAAAGCCGAAAATTATGCAAATTAGGTAATTATTATGGATGTATATATAAACCCAAAACTAATTAGTTGAATTGTCTTAGTGTATTTACTTACCAATGTTCATTGACAAATTATGATAAGTACTTCATATATTTATGGGAAGCTAAGCAAGTAATTAATATGCACACATTTAATGTAAAACTAATAAGGTATGTACAATTTCACAAACCATCAATGTACAAGTTTTATTGAAACCGAGGTGTCCATTGTCCTAGGTCACCCAGTAGCAAGTTTAATTGAAACGTGATGAATAGCTCTTGACATATCAGTAGAAAAGCCAAAAATTTCTATGCAAAGTAGATGATCAATATGCACAGATTTTTATTCAAAACTAATCAGCTCATTCATTAAAATGCAATGATTAGTACTTGAAATATTAGTGGAAAAGCCAAATTTTACTAATTATGCATAATCAGGTAATTAATATGCAAAACGAATAAGGTCTGCGCATTATCCGAGAGCATCTATAAATCAAGTTTCATCAAAATCCAATGAGTGGTTCATTGGGAAGTTACGAACATCGCCTTACATAGATGACCACGCCCATATTTTAGAAACCTGTTTTGCCAAACCACGCCCAAATTGTAACTCTATGTTCAATTAACAGTTAACCAAACTTCGAGTTATGGGCAACATAGATTTTTTGTTTTGTTTAACGTTAAAATGTCGTAACTAAAACTTCAACTTCAAACCGAACTTCAAGTTCCATACAGACCACGGTTAGTAACCGTGATACAGATACATTAACTACAAAGACTTCATTGTGTACTTCGCACAGGGGAACCAAACATGTTTAAACTATAAATAGAATTATATCACTAAAATAATAACACGAGTAGCAACTACGGAATGAGACCATTAATTACAGGACTACACAATAAGGTGGCAGGTAAATTAAATAAATTAATTAATTGTTAATTTCATGTAGTTTGTTAGCTCCGATGCTATGGCATATGTACTAGTTAGATTATGGTCACATGACGGTTATAACATGTAAACCACAAATGCGAAGCGTGAGTGGTTTGTGTTCCTGACTGTTACATGATTTAAAGCGGGGGAGTCGTCACTTGATCAACATACAAGTTCTCCCAATCGTAGTTTTCCATGTAATGTACACCTGATATGCCAAAAATGTTGCTGGACGATTTGAACCGGATAAAAATAGCAGACGAAAATGTGTTTTCAAAATAAAAATAGTTCGATAGCCAATGGAAAATCATGTTCATTTGCATATAGATGATATGCAAAATAGTTTTAGTCAAAATAAGTGACTGCCTAAAAGTACCATTACTGTTGTTCAAATTTCATTTCACTCGGCAAGTATATTCATGTACCCCAAGGGGAAAATATCGTACTTCTAAAAATTGTTTATTTCTGCTATGTTTCGAAAAACGGTACTCCTGAAGGGACTACTTTGTTTGCTCTCAGACCTCATTTGCATATGGGTTGTGGAAATAATGATTTTGATTTCAGGGACGAATCAAATTAAGCTGCAATACATATGTAATAATATTTATTATGTCATGTTCAGGTTATGGCATGTAACCAATGAATACACCCATTAACCAATTCAATACTTCCTTGGTACAGATGTGCAGTTGGTATAATGTTGGCCCTGTGAATATGTGTTCATGATATTTTTCAAAATCCAATTCACAAACTAGACCTTCAAGTCGTATCAACTGGGATAATAAAAACATGTTTATGCAATAAAATTTAATAAATTATAAACTCATGTGATAAAATATTTCAACTTTCAGACATTGATGAATGTGACGAAGGTTTGGATAATTGCCATATCTATGCTAATTGTACAAATACTGTGGGAAGTTTTACTTGTCAATGTCATGATGGATATTATAAAGATGGTAATGAATGTAAAGGTAAGAACATTTACTGTCTAGAATTCACGTCAACATGTTACATTTGTATGTATTAGTGTTGGGATTTGTTTGCACATTTTGACAGTGACATAAACAGTACGAGATCATTGTGGCGATATATGTTTATTGTGTACGGCGATATCTGTTTATTATGTACGGCGATATCTGTTTATTGTGTACGGCGATATCTGTTTATTGTGTACGGCGATATCTGCTTAATTTGTACGGTGATATCTGCTTATGGTGTACGGCGATATCTGTTTATTGTGTACGGCGATATCTGTTTATTGTGTACGGCGATATCTGTTTATTGTGTACGGCTATATCTGCTTATTTTGTACGGTGATATCTGCTCATTGTGTACGACGATATCTG